ATCTTCACATAGCACCCGCACTACTATATAGTCACAGGAGGATAAAAAATGATATCACCCATTCTAATTCTGTGTAATAAAAAATCGTGATACAAACTTGCTAAAATTAAATTTCTCTTTTTCAATAATCACGCCCCTAAAATAAATAAAAAAAAAAAAATTACTATACACACAAAATAGTAAATCTATATATATACACACAATAAAAATGTTTTCAGCACTTGAAAATATTACTAAATTGCTTGATAATATAGTTTCATCTAATATTGACGCATCACCGTTGAAATATATTAGCAAACTATTAAATGATTTTTCAAAACTTTTAAATGAACCAAACTTCTATGATGTGGAAATTAAAGTAGGACTAAATCAACAAGATCTTGAAACGTTTAAAGCACACTCGGCCATCCTGAAATCAAGATCGTCATATTTCAATGTGGCTTTGTCAAACAATTGGATCAAAAGAATGGATAATGGTATTATTATTTTCGAAAAAAGCAATGTCTCCCCAAAAATATTTGGAATCATTTTAGAGTAAGTCGACCATGATCAAAAACTGTGATAATATAAATTATAAATCTATTAATAATTTTATATATAATATTTTCAGGAAAGATCTGTATCAACTATTATGTATTTAATGGCATTACAAGAATTGGCCAAAACACCATTTCGTGTTGTTGACGAGATTAATCAAGGAATGGATCCTAAAAATGAACGTTTAGTTCATCATCAAATGGTTCAAACTGCATGTCGACCAAACACTTCACAGTATGTGCTGTTTTATTATTTATTACAAATCATTTATTTCTGGTGGAAAACCAAAGCATCATTTGACATTTATTAATTGTTAAAAATTATATTTTATTATTTCAGATATTTCTTAATAACTCCTAAACTATTACCAGATCTTAATTATCATAAATTTATGAAGGTACTTTGTATTTATAATGGAGAGTGGCAACCTGAAACGATGAACTGGAAAAAATATATTAAGGAACGAAGAGACTCTGCTTAACACAAAATATAAAATAAAAAAATTTCATAAATTAAACAGTTACCTCCTCACTGTTACAGTGCAAGGCACCTGGTCCCTACAACTTGCAGATCCTTAGCTCTTCCAAAAATGGAAATGCATGTCCAAAAAAACAAGACGTAATTTTGAAGCTAAGACCTTTCTTTACAAAGTTACATCTTCATTTTTGCTGATACGTCTGATACGTCATGTTGTTGTGGAAGAATTAAGTCTCAAAGTTGAAACAAGTTTAACAAATTTACCATGTTAAACCCAAAGTGTTGCACGCAATTTTTTATATTAAAAATGAAGAATCGAAATTTGTATGGTTGATCTTTTATCACGTGATGACAGTTATGAAAAAATCCGAGAGCAAAATTTCTTTTTTCTAATATAATTGCTAATACTTATAGTATCTTAATTATATATAAGTATATATTATCCCGCACTTGACAATCTTCACAAACACTTGACAATAAAAATTTTATTGCATTTTTGATTGTAAATTTTTTCTCAAAAACTGTCGTTGTGACGCAAAAAGTTGTGTCTTGCACTAGGCTAAAGATTCCTATTGCTGCGCCATATGGCCAAATTTCAAAAGTAGCAATTTTGTACGGTGCGGATCATCTATACTCAAAAGTTAAAATTGATCCACACATTGGATTTTAAAAAACCCGCCGCCATTCAATTCAGCTTTAAAAAGGGAGTCTAAAAAAAATTTTTGTCTCAAATTTTCTTTTCATAGATTTGAAAGTTATGCTCAAAAATATAACAATAATTTTCGTGTTACAATATTTTGAATTTCACGACCAAATTTGATAATGATTTTCTTTAAATGTCAAGCGAAAATTTATAATCCGACTACCAAAAACTCAATTGATTCCAACACATTTGTTTCTTATGAACATATAATAACAGATGCACGGCATTAAAAATTTCCTGAGAAATGTGATTTTTCCATTTTATATAGAAAAATGAGAACTATTATATATGTCTAATGTATTACATTTAGAGAATTTTCCACAATCAGAATAAATAATGAAAAGATGTTGATATAGATGATGAATTGGAAAAATTCAAAACAAGAATTTTTTTTTCAAATACTTTTACATCATCATCACCATCATCTACTAAACTTCTATCACCTATCGAAAAACATGAACTTTTAATTCTTCCGTAAATTCATATTTCAATTTAGCAAAGAAATCTCAAAATGACAATATGTTTACTTTTTTTTAAAAAATACAAAATTTAAGTTAGATGATCAACTTCTTTTATTTTATCAAACGTAAAAAATAATGTATTATTACCATGTTTAATTAATAAATTTATCTGCAATCTTTGTTTTAAAGACATATATTAAAAACCATAAGGCTTACCATGAAACTGTTACAAGTATAACTGGTGGATCGCCAAGAATAGTTGTGAAATGGATCTTTCTCATCCAGTTTCCGTGGAAATCCATCTGGACATAAAAAAGAGCTGTCTTTGCAACTGAAAAAACCATGTCGGGCTAGGAAATATAATGAACTCATAATCTCTGTTATCTGTTCTCGCTGTGATGGACAAGTGGAGAATGTTGTCCGGGTTTACTTTGCGGAATCGGGATATTAATGCCTCATACAACATCCGTCGTGGCTTTTATTTGAACTCAAATAATGACAATAGTTATCAAGGGAAAACAATGATAGAGGAATTAGGTGGAGATGAATGGTCTTTGACCCATCACCTCAGTTTGTGTAAGTCAGCTCATTATGTAGATTTGTAGTAGCAGGGGGTTGGTAGCTCCTGTTTGCGGTTCACATAACGTTACTGCTGTCATGAATCTGAAGTAGCTGTAAAATCAGTATACTGCATTATGTAATAGGTAAATTATTAATATTGAAATATTTAAAATAAAAACACAATACTAATAATACTTTGTTCGAATAGAAGCCCAATTGCTGTGAACCATTTGTAATTAGGATTTTTAATTAAAATAAATCATTTGGAAGTTTTGTTTTATTCCAACAAATTCATCTGCTTTTTTTTATTTTTGTACTAGAAATCATCCTGGTTCCTCAAAATCATAAAAATTGAGCATAATAGTTTTCTTGTAGCAACATTGGTTGATATTTACCAGTAAGTTGATATTTTTTCATATGCTTCTTTATCAAAACATTTTAAATGCATAAAGTAATTTGATTGAATCTTATAAACGGAAAAAATATTTTTCAATTCGATGATATGACTTTTTCCATTCTGAAGTAATTTTTCGCCTCCAATTCTCACAACACTAAATTTCTTTTAATTTTCACAAAATAATTCTGAACTAATTCCTTAAGATAACCTTGAAATAAATCGAGTAATTTATGTTCATCACAAGTTATGAGTAGTTATCAAGTATCATCTGGTTTCAAACCATCTAAATATCACTATAAATATACTGACCAGAAGAAAGCACCCGAATAAAGTTTTTTAATAATTACTACACATAATTTATATTATTAGAATACTTAGGTTTTGGTGTATCTACCTACATGTAAAATCTTATGTTTTAACTTTGCGTATGATTTTTAGTTAAAAAAAAATTGGAATAGTTTGAATAAGTTGTATGTTTTATCACGTGTAGAAATTCAATCCCAATACATTTTTCTATCAAGTTTATTTCTTATGAATTAACAGCCACACGGAAAGAAATTAATTGTTGTGTTGCATGTATAGAGTTATTAACTTAACTAAATTAATGTTAAGTTGATACTGCTGACATAGAAAGTTTTATTACCATTTATAAAGCAATTTGCAATTAAACAACTAACTGGTTGCTTCATGAATAGATGCAGTTAATAGCAAGGGCACAAATATCATTCACTACCTTGCATATTAAAGATATCCTCAGTTGGTTAATGTATGGATTCTGAACGGTGTCTATGGCAAAGTTCATATTATTATCATTGCGTGATTTTTTTATTTTTTGAAGAAATGAAAATTTCATGATAAATACCATAGGATTTCAACAACTTAAAAAGAACTATGAATGGTGGATGAACTTCAGGCCCTCGTTTGAAAAGCAGAGGAGAATAAATACACCATTAACATAAAACTTTACAGTAAAATCATTGTTTTTATTAATACTTAATGTCGCTAATAAACTTTTTAAATAAAAATAAAACTGTTAGTTTTTATTTTTCATTTGAACGCTTTGGTAAAAGCAAAAGGTGGAGTGCCTTGATAAAAAGGCAACAATTGTGGAGTTTTGGTAAAAAGATACATTTGATTTGCTGTTAGATTTTAACATAAATAGATTAAGTCATCGACAATGTTATTACTATATATATTAATAATTAAATTTTTATATTTTCACGTGATTAGAATCAGCAAACATCTAAAAAAAATTTTATTATAGATTCAATAATAATAATAATGGTAATCAAAAAAGCAAAACACCATGTTGTCGGTAGAAAAATTAGAAGTGTACAAGGAAGACCTGGTCAGAAAAAACAAATTGGCATTGAAAAGGTTAGTAGTGGTAACATTATTAATTAAATACATAATATTAAATATATAATTGTTAATGCTATAGAGGAAGAAATCTCTACTGGTTGAAATGGAAAATAAAAATAAAGTTGGTGGTTTTATTGATAAACGTTTTGGTGAAAATGATCCGACAATGTCTTTAGAAGAAAAAATGTTGAAAAGATTTACAAAAGAGAGACAAGTAAGTGGCTGACTACAAATACAAATACAAATGCAAATACGATGCAAAGATATTTATCTGACGAATATTTATTTAATCAATGGAATTTATTATTTATTATTTATTATTAGAAAAAAACCAAATCTTCCATTTATAATTTAGAAGAGGATTTGACACATTTTGGACAATCATTGGCTGAAATTGATGAGGATGATGATGATTTGGGATTGAGAAGTGGTGATGACAATGATGATGATAATGGTAAAAATTATATAAGTTAATTATATGTTATTATAATTATTATAATTGAGTTGTGTTTTTATTTAGGATTTATTGATGAGAAAACTGTCTCAAATGTTCATTTTGGTGGATTTGATGATAAAAATCAAGATGTGATAATAATCTTTATATCATATTTGATTTTTTTTTTAATGTTTTAGATCAATTATTTAAAATCATTTGAAATTTTTATTATAGGAATTTCAAAAACATAAAAAATCTAAAAATGAAGTCATGAAAGAAATAATTGCTAAAAGCAAAGTTTATAAAGTATGTAAAAGAATTAAATTACATACATACATACATACTATTTATTATATTAATTACATATTTTGTTATTATTAGTATGAACGTCAATTAGAAAAAGAAAGAGATGATCATACAAGAGATCAATTGGATCGAGAATTTGCAAATATTCGTCAGTTACTAGTTGCTTCCAATAAATCCGAATCTGATAAAAACAATTCACACTCTTCATCTCAGAATAAATCCAAAGAAAAGGAATCTGTTGTCAATCAAAAAGTAAAAAAAAAGGAATTATTATCTGACGAAAAGTTAAAAAAAGATCAAGAGTATGATAAATTGATCCACGAGCTAGCTTTTGAAAAACGCGGTAGACCTACTGATAGAACAAAATCTGAAGAAGAAATTGCTTTAGAAGAAAAAGAGAAATTGGAGAAATTGGAGGTTGGATTGATTAATTAAGTATTCACGAATAATTTATGTGAGAATTAACGATAATTTGATAATTTGCTTTTATTTAGCGTGCAAGAAAAAGACGTATGGAAGGCCTCAGTTCAAATTCTGATTCTGATTCTGATGATTTTAGTTTAAATACCAGCAAAAAGAATAACAGTAGAAATAAAAAACAGAAACGTGTTCCTGTAGCAGATGATCTTGATGATGATTATATATCAGAAAAAGATGATGATGATGATGATGAATATGGTCTTGGAAAAGGAGTAGGGTTAAAGAAACCCGCAAAAATTGCAAGATTATATGATGATGATGATGATGATGATGATGATGATGATGATGATGATGATGATGATAATGATAATGATAATGATGATGATAATGATAATGATAATAATGATGATGATTATTCAAATATTCTATACAACATAAAATTATCAGCTAATAATCGAGCTAAATTAGAAGTAAGTATATATAATATCTATATTAATAATTTTTTTAAAGAAGTATTCATCATTATTGCAATTATAATAATGATTTTTTTATTTTTGGCCTTGCTAAAAATCAATTATAATCTAGGCATTTCTTCCAGTTTTAATTGATTATGTTTTATTACGTGCACAAGAACCAACAATCCCTATACAACTTATAAATAAACTTTTTGCACATATTTATGATTTTGCGCATCAATCACCAGAAGTTGCAACAAAATATTTTATTGAGAAAATTACAATGTTTGAAAATAATTTAATGAAAGGATTAAGATTATTATCAGTGAATTCCTCCAAGAAACCAAAAAACGCATTATCAACATCATTGTTTCCTAATTCATCTGAACTTTTTTTATTAAAAATTTTATCATTAATTTTTCCTACTTCTGATTTTCATCATCCTGTCGTTACTCCCTCAATGCTATTAATGTGTCAATACTTAACAATTTGTCCTATTTATAATGGAAAAGATTTGGTATCTGGATTGTTTATATGTAATCTAATCTATGAGGTATAATTATTTTATTTGTAATAGTTTTTGATTAATGTATTTTGGAATTAATAATCAACGGTTTATTATTTACTGTTTATAGTATCAGAAATTATCTCAACGTATTGTTCCTGAAGCTCTTAATTTTCTATATAGTTCACTAGTTTACCTTGCACCAGCGAATACATTTAAATCGTTGGATTCAATACCTGGTTTATTTCCAACAAACTCATATAGAAACTCACCAATTATTCATCTTCAAATTAAAGATGCCACCAATTTAGACAAATCAAAATTGCCACAATTAAATTTTTTTAAATTATTGAATCATAATAAGGACGAAGAAGATATTTATGATAATGATGAATTTAGGTAAAATGTATTAATTGATTGTAACCCTTGGAACATTTTTGATATTTAAAAAATTTTTTTGCCAAAATATTCTAAAACATTTTTTTTTAAAAAAAATTCAGAGTTTCATTATTATTAGGAATATTATCCCTTATTAAACAATATGCAAAACTTTATAGTTCAACAACTGCATTCATAGAACTTTTTCATCCAGTCATCGAAATCTTATCAACATATTTTTCGATTGATAAATTTTCAAATTTTGTAAAGGTATTTTATTAAAAATTCATCTTTACAATTATATTATTATAATATTAAAAAATAATTTTGAATGATTAGGATAAAATCAATCAATTGAAAGAAACGTTGGAAAGAATGGAAAGATTTTCTCGTGAAAGTCGTAAACCTTTAGAATTACAACATCATCGGCCTATTCCATTACCCACATTCATTCCTAAATTTCATGAAAAGTAAGTCATTTGAATATATTTATATAAAGTTATATATCTATTATACAAATAATAAATCTTTCCTCACATTTTTTTTCTCTTTAAAAAAGCTATTCAATTGACAAGAAATATCGTGATACAGGTCGTGACCAAGCCAGTTTTAATAAATTGAAATCCCAACACAAGAAGGAACGTAAGGGTGCAATACGTGAGTTACGTAAAGATAGTCAATTTATAGCAAGACAAAAAATTGGTAAAATTAGAGAAAAAGATATGGCTTATAAAAATAAAATTAAAAACATCATGGGTATTTTGGAAGTTGAACAAGGTGAAAAGAAGGCTTATGAAAAGGCAAAAAAATATGGAAAGTTATAAATAATTAATATAATTGTTTAATTGTAGTTTATTATTTAATTATTAGAGTGTATATGAGAACAAATAAAAAATAATTTAAATATTTACACATTTTTGTAATAATCTTCAGTTCCAACAATTAAATCATCATTTAGGTCTGATGCTGTTGTTGTTTAATTAAAGCAATAAGTCATCTCGGATAACTTTCTTTATTACTGCAAGCAATATTATTATATTCTTCTATTAGAACATGAAAAAAAATTTTTGGTTGTAAATTTGTTTTTATTAAATAAATTTGTTTGATTTTTCATATATCTTCAATCGTAACCTCCAAAATTTTACATTTTCCCTTTTTGCTTATTCCTGATGGTTGTGTAATTTGACGGATATGTTTATATCTATCTGTTGTGGCAAAATTGGTGATGATCTGATCGGTAAAGAATTTTTATAATCCTTTTATGATTGGATTGGACATTAAATTAAACTGTTCATGTTTTAGTGGTGATATTTGAATAATAATAATAATAATAATAATAATAATATTCACGATATTTGGAATTTAAGTCGATTGTTTTATGGACAAGGAGATCAATTCTTCCGATTTGATCAGGTGATTGATAATGTATATAACCATCATTTTTGACAGTCGGTCCACATTCACCTGTTGTTATATTTTAGCAACAACATTGTCATTCAAAATTTATATAAAGATTATTTTTTGAACTCGTTAATCTGCAAAATCTGCAAACCAAACTCTACAATCATTATTTTGAAAACAAAAAATTCCTTCTCAAAAAATATAAAGTTTAATAAAAAAATAGATTCTTTCACATTTCATTTTGTGATGAAAACTTTTATACAAAGCAACTGTTTAACTCCTTTATGAGAGAAATTACCAAAAGGTATCAGTATCTTGAAAAAAATAAAGACGCATTTTGAGTAATGTGGTACAATATACCAAGATTTTACTTTTTCCAATATTTAAAAAAAAAAAATTTATTATAGTATAATAATGTCGTTGTTAAAACCTGGAGAAGTAAATTTAGGGGTTAGTTTTTAACGTTTAATAATTTCAATTCTGAAAATTGTCTGTTTGAATACAATAATGTAACTTTTTTATTATTATTTTAATATTAGACCACAATTATGGCGGTTGAGTTTGACGGTGGAGTAATAATTGGAGCTGACACACGTACCAGTACTGGCAATTATGTTGTAAACCGAACAACTGATAAATTGACCAAGGTTCATGATCAAATTTTTTGTTGCAGATCAGGAAGTGCAGCGGACACACAAGCTATTGCTGATATTGTTCATTACCATTTACAAATGTACACGTAAGTGAATAATAAATAACGATAATGATTGATTATAACAAATGCATATAATTAAAATCTAATTTTCATATATAGAGCTCAAAATGGCGAAGCTCCAACAGTGCAAACAACAGCAGCTTTATTTCAACAAATATGTTATCAAAATAAAGATAATATATCTGCTGGTATTATTGTAGCAGGATGGGATAAATATAAAGGTGGATCAGTGTATATTATTCCTTTAGGTGGTGCATTACTCAAACAACCATATGCCATTGGAGGTTTGTCAATTATCTTCCAATTATTCTTATTATTAGTTATGTTGTTCGGATTGATTATTAATCTGAAATATTTATATGTTTTAGGGAGTGGATCTACATATATATATGGTTATTGTGATTCTGCTTACAGACGAAATATGAGTCGTGAAGAAGCAATAGAATTTATGAGAACTGGTCTGTGAAATTTCAATGCTACTAAAATAAGAATCCTAAATTTCATTGTATAATATAATAATTGTTTTTAATAAATGATAGCTATTGCACTTGCTGTTGCGAGAGATGGATCTTCTGGTGGATGTATTCGTATGGCTGTTATCACAGAACAAGGAGTTGAACGATTATTTATTCCAGGAGATCAAGTGCCATGTGAGATTTTTATTAATAAGTTAATTTTGTTTTTAAAGGTTTAATAATAATATTAACATTTTATATTAAAAATAGTAATTGGGGTAATAAATAATTAATCATTATATTTAAGAATGAAAAATAAATGACACTTGATAAAAATCAAAATTTTTCTCCATTTTTAATGGTTAAAAGGTTTTTTATTTTAAAAAATAATGAATTTCTTAAATTCCCTATTCTTCAGCTTTCTTGTATAATTCCAAATACAGCTTTGACAATTATTTCAATTGTTAATTGAGCACCTTTATAATTGAAATTATAGTAAATTCATCTAATGTCTCCTCTAATAGAATTTAAAATAATCCTTAAAACTTGCATCTATACGATGTGTTCGATATCAGGAACACTGTTGATGTCAAATTCTAATTCTATAAAAAGGGTAATCCACTTTCAATTAAAAAATACATTACGTAATTTATTTAACTTGCAAGTTCTTTCCATAATAAATCCATATTTAAAGATTGAAAGTCATATGATCATAAAATGAGTTTGGTGCACGTTTTTATCTATCTATCTATAGTCCAATGTAAGAAGTAATTTATCTTGTATTGCGAGGCGCAGGGAAATTTTTTCATTAACCATTTAGGAAACATTAACTAAACAAAAAACAAGACTTTAAAAGCTTACTCCTTATTAAAAAAGAAAAAAGTAAACCGATAGAATTAAGCTAAAGACCTAAACTTCATTTCCATCAGTTTACTTGAAAAATCTTCGTGATGCAACAAAAAATCTTTCCAACAAAAGAAATATGATTACTTGAATCAGAAAGATCTTCTAAAACTTTAAGGTCAGGTGATCATTTTGACGGACTGGCTGCGTAAAGGTTAAATCCTAATTTGGTAATAATTGTCTTGATAACGACCAAATAATTTCGTGAGTTTAGCCAAATGCTCATTTGGGTTACGCGGCCAGCCCTGGTTTATGATGACGTAACCATATTAATATTATCACATGGAAGAGTTTGAAACGTGAATGAATATCTTACCTATGTATATATAAAGGAAATAGTATTCGTGTTTACTTTTTTGGAAAAGATCTTTCCGTTACCCAACCTTCAACAAAAATTTCAGGGTACGCCCCATATTGTAAATGATTTAATATTAATATTATTCATTAAAAAAAATATGCGAGAGGACTTTCATAACAATAATAATAAACAGCAGCAGCAACAAATTGTAGGAGGTGGCGGTTCTTCGTTGTTCTTACAACTACAAAACTCAAGACAGCCACAATCAATTCAACCGGCAACCGCATTTACTAATAATACTAACGTACAAGGGCTTTCTTCAACACAAGGCTCGTTACAACATCAACATTCTTCATATTCTCCTAGACAAATATATTCTAACGTTAATAATCATAATCATAATAATAATAGTCCTTTAAGACATTTATCAAACGTTCCTATACAACCACAACAACCACATCAATTATTTTCGAATTCCTCTAACTCTATAAGTTCAATATTTTCTAATAATAATAATAATAATAATAATAATAATAATATAGGAAGACAAAATATTCCGAGTTCTACATTATCATCTGTTCAAACCTCTGGAGTTGCTAACAACAACAACAACAACAACAACAATAATAATAACAGTAACAACAACAACAACAACAACAACAACAACAACAACAACAACAACAATAATAATAACAATAATGCAATTACTGCTACTGCTGCTACAAGCCGATATCAACAAAATCCTACACCACATCAGTCACCTCCACATCAATCAAATACAACATTAAATTTACCACACAATGTTCTTGCCAATTTAGACCACTCCACATTATCATCACATAGTCCTCATTTATTAACAATTAATTTAAATAATAATTACAATGACAACTATGATAATTCAATACAATATTCACCAATGCCGTCTTCTTCTTACCACCAACACCATCATATTGATTCATTAGTTAACACTTTGCATCCTCATCATCAATATTCATCATCTGGATCAACCCCTCAACAACCCTTCAATTTGCAATCCATTCAAAAAGTTAATTCTTCCTCACCTTTTATTGCTGCTAATACTGTTCAACCAAATCCAAAAGGATTAAAATCACAAAAAGATTCCAAGTCACAAAAATCACTAAATCAACAAGAGCATAATCAGAATCAACATCAAAAATACATCATAGATAGTGCAGTTGAAGATGCAGCACGGACACTCTTTTTATCTTCAAGATTGAATAGTGATTTCAATTTTAAAGATAATAACAATAATAAATTTCTAATAACTCCAACTTCTTCGTTTCAATATGATCATCCTTTACAACGTGATTCATTGGATATTGATGAGATTCCAAACATTTATACCAAACAGTTAACTATTAAAGCAGTTTTTTTCTTAATTAAAAATAATTTATAATCAATTAATTAAAACGATGATATTTTTTAAAAATAGTAACCAACAACAAGAACAACAAAAACATGGTAGCAAAGGTATTATATATGTGACTCATTTAAAAAAAGTATAAAATTAAGGCAAAATCATTATAGTACTAAAATTCTTCTCCCTGACTGGATTTTAATTTAGATTATACAGATGAAGAAACTATAGAGAAACAGGGAGAAATAGGTTTAATACCACATAATAGAGGTCATAAATTAAAAAATAGAGCTTACACAATAGGTGAAAAATCAAGATTGCAAGCACCATATGATATTTATCAAGACATTGAATATATCGACACGCCAAATAATCAAAGATGTCCTATAATCCACAAGTTTTCTAGGAATTCTATTTTGAAAGCAGTGGAATGTTTCAATGATTTGGAATTCGATCCTTATAAAGATATTAATGTTAGAGGTTAGAGATTTTTTATTTTTTTTTGGGGAGGAGAATCCAATCAATCAATTATTAATAATTTATTATATAATGTAATTATTAGAAATTTTTTACCCATTAGAGAAATTAGAAGATGTTGTCAGGAAACCTCATTATAAAAGGATTTTAAATGACAGTTCATTAACACATTGTGCTGATTTCTTGATGGAAAGAATTGATAATGAGAAAAATTTCAATAATGTAATTAGTAGACTGATGACTGTATTGCAAGGTGATGATACCATGTATCCAAACCTGGACTTTAAACTTAATCCACCATCTGAAATAATCAGTACTCGTGTTGTTAAAGTTGAAGAGGAAGGTGGTGTGGATTTGGGTGTACTTGGTGTTGGATTACAAGGAAATGATAGGAATAGGGATATAAGAGTTCATGAAGCTAAAGACCAAGGATTAGAAACTTTAATCGCTGTTCGTGAACAATTACAAGTAATTTACTTATTTCTTTGATTTATATATATATATATATATGTTTAGAAAAAATTTTAAGTATTTATTTATTTTTGCTTAAATAGGAACAAATTAGTAATAGTAATGAGATTTTAAGGTGTTTAATTGAATCAAGAAATGGTGTATTAAAAGCTATAAGACAAAGGGATTTATTAAAAGTTAAAATTGTTTCAATTGATAAACATAAAAAAAAATTAGAAAAAAAAGAATTAAAAAGAAATTACCAAGAAACTTTGGAATAAATTTATTATTATTATTATAATTTTTCTTTTTTATCAGAAGAAAGATTTGTTTAGAATTTAAAAAAATAAAAAAAAATAATATTAATATTAATCACAAATTAGATTTCAATCACTGGACAAACCACATCTTTGATTTTATGATTTTTTATAATATTTGTTCATTTATATTATATTATATATTAATAACATCAGATTCTGCTAATGCTATTTATTGGTGATAAATATTTGATGAATAATTAAATGAATAAAATACCTTTTAATTTAATAGTTGCATTCCTAAATATGTATTTAAAAAATATTAGTTAATAATAATGTCCATTATTCACAAAAGTAGAAAAAAAACACATTACCATTATTTGGGGACTGTTCTAGGAAAACACGGGTTAGAGCTCCCAGATTCAAAAATGAGAAATTTATACCAAATTAATCTATAA